CATTTTTTTCCTCTCCTACTCTGCTAAACTGATTTAAAAGCAACTCTTGGTAGGGCACTAATGAATGTATTGGATGATTCCTCTTCTTATAGTGGTATATCCCAGCTGCCCCTTCCAATACCAACAAAAATCCATTATGAAAATTTCCCCTCTATTAAATTACCACCAAAAATTCTTGGCAGTAGTAAAGGATATTGCTATGTTTACCTATACCAGCAAGAGAACTAGCCCCTAAATGTTTATATAATGTTTCTGTCAGACACAAGATGACAAAAGCTATTGCAAATACCCCAGAATCTAGGAATACATTTTGCTTCCCTTAGACAGAAGGGCACTCAGTGCAAAATCTGAGCGCCTTACTAACGTCACATTTTTTAACTGTCTCCTTCCTGACACTTTTACCTCGGGTGCATGATAAATAAGGTTTTAAAATTACAGATGCAAGTCATGTATTTTGCAGATTCAGCTGTGTCTTTTCTCCCTCACAATTTAATGAGAAACTAACTTTAAAGTGATTTATTTGTAATACCAGCAACCTACTGCTTTGCTGTTCTGTTACTGGTTTTTATGATTCGCTCTAAAAATAAATAAACCAACTCCATCCAAGGTGCTCCAGTGGCAATGGTGGTCACCCTTCAGTATTTTGCAGAAGGTCAAAAAGAACCATATTCTTTTGACAGAGAATTTACAGTAATTTTACCAGAAAGTTAAGGTGAATGTCAATATTTAATTCAGATCCTGCATGCTCTAATATGAAGGGGCTTATTCTTGTAAATTTTACCAGAAAGTTAAGGTGAATGTCAATATTTAATTCAGATCCTGCATGCTCTAATATGAAGGGGCTTTAATTCTTGTAAAAATATATATATTAATAAACAGAAACTCATGACATGCAACCCAAGAGTGGCAAATAAGGTAGTGGTGTCCTTTGGTGGAGTCTCACTGTCACAGGGGAAATCCTACAGAGATGTAACACAGCGTAACTAGACCAAGTCACCACTGGATATAAAATGAAATCTCATTTATATTACATGCAACTCCAGCAAAATATATGCTAATCCTTTTCAAACCTATTTCCCAAAGCTTCTTACTACTAATGCCAGAGGAAAATAAAAATGAACAGCATGTATATATCCTATATGTATATGCATACTGTTATGCATACACACACGCAGAGTAGGTTAAATCTTTTTCCTTCAAGCCAGTTATACTATAATTTAATTACTGCAGGAAGCTGTAGGATACCACTGCACTGCAAGCATTGTTCAACAAGTTATGGAAAAGTTACGTTTTTGATTTCCAAGAGGAAGGGTGGTGACCTATAAAGTTGTAAAGGAAACCACTCACAAGCTTATTTCAATACCCTTGCTAAAAACAGCCACCTGGAATTATAGGAGTCTCCTCCTCATCCTGCTCAGAACAATTGGAAAATTACAGACCGTTTAAAACACATTAATAGATTAAAAAATAAAAAGAGTGGAGACAAGTTGTCACTCGTGGAATTGCACTGCTCATTTCTCCGATTTCTCTGGTAGTTGCAGCTGGATTTAGCTAGAGGAAAGAGTGCCCCAAATTACATAACAGGTACACTTAAAATGTGTTACAGAACCTGAGTTGGTCATTCTCTCCCAAAGACTTTACTTTTCAGTTTATCCTGAAGTCATTGGGGACAGGTTTAACTTAAGCCAAAATAAACACTGATTGCTAGAAGCTTTGGGGTGAACAACATCAGACTGGATTTAATATAAACTGGTGGGTTTTTTTCTATATGACCAGATAAAATCTAAAATAAATGATATATAAGCATTTTGTAAAATACAGGACAATGATAAAATGGGGTTTATGTTGCTTACTGTAATTTCTACAATATATTCATCACAGGGATTTATCTGATAAATGTAGCATCACATTCCCTCTTAGCCCATGATGCAATTATCTGCACTAAACCCAGCAAGGTAGGGCATACTGTTAGCTGCACTTCAACAGGCATGGCGAAAATAAAAAGACGGGGGGGGGAGGGGGTGTAAGTATTTGTAAAAAAATTGTGTCACACAGCAAACGCTGCACCAGCAGACACTAATACAGCCACTTCCCCCGCCCCTCCCTTTTCATCTGATCCCTCAGCAAATACACAGCTGCAAACACCTCAGATACAAGACAATGTGTGTCTTAACCTATCCCTGACCAAGCAGGACTTTTAAAATCTTCCAGATCCAGATTACTGCCTTCACAAGGTCTGGCCTCATCCTCTGTATTTCAGAAGGACGCTGATTTTTCACTAATGCAGCTGTAGTGCCCGGGCAGGTAACGGGGAGATGTGTGCCAGGGTACGAGTTCATCAGGCAAATGACTCGGCAGATACCCAGAGCGAAGCCTCGCTCCAGATGGGATCAGCACAAATTTGACACTATGGTACTAGCTACAAAGTCCTGCACTATTAATCCAGGTGAGAGAAGAGGATTCATTTCCAACTTCTTCTACTGATTCTTTCTCTGGCAGCTTATTTTTGCTTTGCAGAAGGTCCAGGAATTTAGACTAAAGAAACTAATTTCTTAGAAACAGACTGGTCATGCATCTCTTTTCCTTATTGCTCAGGTTTCTTTTTTTATAACACAGAAGATGAACCCACAACTGCTAAAGCTCAATGATAACAGGCCTCATCTTAGTGATATAAAACTTGATTAATTAAATGGCCTTTGGGATATCTTCTTTTAATACTGGAAGTATTAAAGTTAATTCCTAAAAAAAAAACCTGAAGGAAAGTAAAAGTCACATGAATCAAAAGTAGCTCAACTATCTTTTGCCTACAGTGAACTGGGAAAGAGGTGAAACTTGGAAAAGGTTAGGTTTATTCATGAAAATACAAGATTCCTCAAGTAATTTTAAAATGCATCTATAAAAGATATGACAGCACAGCTCCGAAGTCACACAAATGAGTTAATATCTGGCAATCCAGTGCATACTGTTTTTAAAAAGCTACAGTGAAGCACTGCAGCACCAGCTAGGATTTGTAAACTTATCTCTAGGGAAATGAGGAACAAGTCCCTCCACTTCACAGTGCCTACCTCTGAATGCACATCCTGCCTGTTCATAAGTGGCTGCACGATAATCATAGAATCATAGAATCACTGAGGTTGGAAAAGACCTCTAAGATCATCGAGTCCAACCGTCGACCCAACACCACCATGCCCACTAAACCATGTCCCTAAGCGCCTCATCTACTCGTCTTTTAAATACCTCCAGGGATGGGGACTCCACCACTTCCCTGGGCAGCCTGTTCCAATGTTTCACCACTCTTTCAGTAAAGAAGTTTTTCCTCACGTCCAATCTAAACCTCCCCTGGCACAACTTGAGGCCATTTCCTCTCGTCCTATCGCTTGTTACTTGGGAGAAGAGACCAACACCCACCTCGCTACAGCCTCCTTTCAGGGAGTTGTAGAGAGCTATGAGGTCTCCCCTCAGCCTCCTTTTCTCCAGGCTAAACAACCCCAGTTCCCTCAGCCGCTCCTCATCAGACTTGTTCTCCAGACCCTTCACCAGCCTCGTTGCCCTTCTCTGGACACGCTCCAGCACCTCGACGTCCTTCTTGTAGTGAGGGGCCCAAAACTGAACACAGGATTCGAGGTGCGGCCTCACCAGTGCCAAGTACAGGGGCACGATCACTTCCCTACTCCTGCTGGCCACACTATTTCTGATACAGGCCAGGATGCCATTGGCCTTCTTGGCCGCCTGAGCACACTGCCGGCTCATGTTCAGTCAGCTGTCGACCAACACCCCCAGGTCCTTTTCCGCCAGGCAGCTTTCCAGCAACTCTTCCCCAAGCCTGTAGCGCTGCATGGGGTTGTATAGCGCTGCATGGGGTTGTAAATAATGATAATTATAGTGATAATGCTGTTTACTCCTTGCAGCAGGTACCAAACTTCAGCACTTTTCTCTTCAGGCCATAGTTAGAGGTGGACTTCTCTCACACACAGCTGGCGCTGGCCCTGGCCCTGGCCCTGGCCCTGGCCCCACAGCGTACACCACTCCAGGGCTTTCTACCCCAAACCATCTGACAGGTGTGCTTGATTATACCACAGCCTTCCACAGGTGACACTGACCTCACTGTTGGGAATATACAGAGTTCACCAATGCCACCATTACTTGCAGATTCGCATTTGGCATTCAATTTACATGTTACCTTACCAGAGGTGCCTTCTTTCCTCTTGATTTATGACTCAGTTTTACAGGAACCTCCCATTACTCCCCTTCTAGAAATAGTGCAATGACAAATAGGCTCTGTTCTGCCTTTTCTTGTGCTCTGCATCCACAAACAAACCTTAACCTTGCATTTTGCAGCCGCTGGGAGGGAGCTCCGGACTCCCGCGTACGCCCAGAGCAGCAGCACGGCTCCGGTTGCGGCCCAGAGCGCCCCCCCGCCGCCGGTCGCCCCGCAGGGCTAAACCCACTCGCTCAGCCCGCGGCAGCACACGGCAAGGAAGTGTTTTGCTCTTCCGCGTGTTGTGCGCAGGGGACACGTGGCTTCGTTCCTGACACTGGCAGGGGGAAATTTACTTATTTAAACACATCCCGAGCCGTTCCGGCCGGCTCGGTGACCTTGCCCCGGTTGCTCTCCCCGCATGGGGCGGCGCGGCCGGGTTCCCAC